GAGAGGCTAGGACGTTAAAGAGATTGTGACTTCTTACTACTCTCTTTTGGATAATTTGCTGTAGAGGAAGACAGATGCCACCTTGTGAGAACAGGCAAGTAGCTTTGTGGACAGATTCATACAGTAATAATATAAGGCCTCTTGGCAATGGCCGGCACCAACTTGCCAACAGATGAGTGGGTTACCTGAAAAGCTACCAGTCAAGTCTTTTGCTGACTGTAACTCTGGCTGACACCTTGACAGCAACCTGATGAGAAACCTGGAGCCAGAACCAGCCATGGAAGCCATCCCCAAATTCCTGACTCAGACAAATGTTGTGAGAGAATCAATGTTTAATATTTGTGTTGCTGAAATTTGGGGCAGTTTGTTCCCCAGCAATGGATAACTAATGTAGAGCTGCAGTAAGAAATGTAGTAAAACGTGGGTATAGATATGGTGTCTATCAGCTGTATAAAACCAAAATAATATTTTGCAGGATTAAAACATACAACATAGAAGTAAAACATATGATAATAATAGCATATAGGTCAAGAGGAAGGTCAATGGAGTTGAAGTATTGAATAGTCCCTGAATTGTCCATGAAAGTCTAAAAGTACTGATTTATATAAGGTCATTTTTTTCTGGAAGCATAAAGAGAGTGATTTTTTTCTGTCTTTTGTGTTTTTGACTTGATAGTGAATGATTTAAAAAAATTATTTCAGTGAGGTAAATTTAACATATAATAAGTTGCACATATTTAAAGTACACAACTTGACATGTAATGATTTATGTATAAATCTGTAAATTAATTTTTACAATCAAGATAGTGAACATATCCACATAAATGTTTAATATTGTTATGTCCCCTTGATAACTTACCCCTTTATCATTACAAAATGACCTTCTTTATGCCTGGTAATATTTTTTGCTGTGAAATCAACTTCATCTGATATTAAAATAACCACTCTGTTTTTTAGACTAGTGTTAAAATGGTTAATCTTTTAGATTTTAATCTGCTTGTATCTTTCTATTTGTTTTCCATTTGTCCTGTCTGTTCTTTCTTCTCCCTTTTCATTTTTTGGTTTACTTTTTGATTGGACATTTATCATTCTTTTCCTTTCCTTTGTTGGCTTACAATGTATAATTTTTTTCTTTCTTATTTAGTGCTTGTTTTGGGGTTTGTAGTATGTATCTTTACATTACCATACTCTACCATCACTTCCTAACTACTGTTAGGATCTTTCAATAGCATATTCCTTTTCCACTCTCCTGGTCTTTATGCCATTTCAGTCACACATTTTACTTTTATACATGTTGTAAATTCCACAACACACTGTTATAACTTTTGAATACATAGGCAACTAACTTTTAAAGTGATTTAAATAACAAGAAAAAAGTCTTATAAATTTACCCATGAAATTACCTTTTCCAGTGCAAATTATATTTTCATCTGCTATTATTTTTCTTTTCCTTGGAGGCTTCTTTCAGTATTTCTTGTAGTGTGGAACTATTAGTGATGTATTCTTTCAGATCTGGTATGTTTACAAAGTTTTTACATTTGCTTTTGAAATATCACTTTTCTGGGTATGGAATTAGAATTTTTGGTTGACACTTGTTCTCACCTCTTTCAAGATGTTCCACTGTCTTCTGGCTCACATTGTTACCAGAGAGAAATGTGCTGCCATCCTTATCTTTGTATGAAATATGTTTTTTTCTCTCACTCCTCTCAAGATATTCTTCTATCATTGGCTTTGAACGATTTGATTATGATAAGCTTCAGTGCATTTTTCCTCATGTTTCTTGTGCTCACAGTTCATTGAGTTTCCTGGATCTGTCCTTTATAATTTTCTTCAAATTTTGAATATTTTTTGCCGTTATTTCTTCAAATACTTTTTCTATTTGTGACTCTCCTTCTTCTTTTGGACACTAGTTAAAAGTACATTAGCTACTTGAAGTTGTTGTATAGCTCACTGATGAACTTGCCGTTGTTTGGGGTTCTTTTTCCTCTGTTTCATGTTGAATAGTTGCTGTTCTGGTGTGTTCATGTTTACTAATTTATTCTTCTGTCATCTCTGATTAATTCTACCCAGTTCCAGTTTTATATCAGACACACTGTAATCTTCATCTCTAGCAGTTCACTTTAGCTCTCTTTCTTAATATCTTCTATGTCTCAACTTCACTTTTGAATATATATAATACAGTTATAATAACCTTTAATGTCCTTTCCTTCTAATTCTAACATTTGTGTCAGTTCTGGGTTGGTTAAATTGATTAATTGTCTTCCTCATTATGGGGCATTTTCCTGTGTTTTTGCCTGACTGCTAACCTATCATTGGATACAAGGCCTAGTGAATTTTACTCTTTGGGTTCTTGATCATTGTATCATCATTGTATTGCTATAAATATTCTTAAGCTTCGCTCTGGGACATAGTTAAATTATTTGGAAATAGTTTGATTCTCTTGAGTCTTGCTTTTACGGTTTGTTTGCTGGGACCAGAGCAGTATTTAGTCTAGAGCTAATTATTACCCACTACAAAAGAAAGTCCTTCTGAATACTTTACTCAATGTCCTGTGAATTATAAGGTTTTCAAGTCTGGCTGGTGGAAACAGGCACTATTCCTGTCCCTGTGTGAGTTCCAGATACTGTTACCTCCAATTTCCTTTGAAGGTTCTTTGCTCAGCCTCAGGCAGGTCCCTCTGAGACATGCACCAGTCAGCTCTCTGTTGAATATCCTTGATGAACGATTATCAGCAGATATATGGAGTCGTCTCTGTCTCTGTAGCTCTTTCTTTTGTGGTACTTTGTCCTGCAAAATTTAGCTTCTTCTGTCTTTCTGGACTTTCAGCTTTGTTTCCTCAGCCAAGGAGTCCACTGGGCTCTGCCTGGGTTACTCCTCCTTGTGCTGCAGCCTGAAAACTCTCTCAAGGCAATAAGCTGGTGCAATCATAGGAATCACCTCATTTGTTTCCTGTGTCTCAGACACTCCTTCATTGCCTGATGTCCAGTGTCTAGAAAGCCAATTTTTTCCTGATATACAGACACACACACACGCAGGAGTGTAAATATTGCACTTTTTACTCCATTTTGCCTGGAAGTGGAAGTCCCTTTTCCATGGATGCTTGGGACTGAATGTTTATGTCCCCAAATTCATATCTTAAATTCTAACCCCCAATGTGATAGTATTATGAGGTGGGGTGTTTGTGAGGTGATTAGGTTATGAAGCTGGAGCCCTTGTGAATGGAATCAGTTCTCTTATAAAAGAGAACCCAGACAGCCCCTCATCCCTTCTACCATGTGAGAATATAGCAAGAAGATGGCCATAGATGAACCAGGTAGTGGGTGCTCACCAGACACAGAATCTGCTGGGGTCTTGATTGTGGTTTTCCCATCCTCTATGACTGTGAGAAATAAATTTCTTTTGTGTATAAGCCATCTAGTTTATGGTATTTTTGTTATGACAATTGACTTTTAAAATTGTGGTTATTCTATTTCTAATTTCTAGAAATTTTCTTTGGTTCTTTTTAAAAATTTTTTTAAATTAATTAATTAATTTATTTTCGGATGTACATCATATTTCGAATTCTGTGTAGATTACATCATGTTTACCACCTGAAAACTAATTATAGTCCATCCCCTCACATGTGAGCCTAATCACCCCTTTTGCCCTCCCCCCTCCCGCTTCCTCTATGGTAACCACCAATCCAATCTCCAATGCTGTGTTTTTTTGTCATTGCTTTTATCTTCTACTTATGAGTGAGATCATATGGTATTTGACTTTCTCCCTCTGACTTATTTCACTCAGCATAATACCCTCAATGTCTTTTAAAATCTACAGTGGATTTTTTTTTCAGTTTCCAGTACCTTCCACACAATTTCAAATTTATAATTTATTTCTTTAAATAAGCTCTCATAATTTCATAATTACAAAATATGAAGTCTGGACAGAACTCTATTCTTCGTTATTTTCATTTTTTCTCATTCATATTCAACTTAACTTATTTTCTTGGATGCTAAGAATCTTTGATTTCTTGGTGGTATTAGTCCTTGGCAACTTAGTTGTGATGTTTCCTGCGCCCTTCTCTGGGGCAGCTTCCATAAACGGGCCATGTGAATAGGAATATCTTAACCCAATTCCAAGGATGGAGAGTTCCAGACCCATATAGGCCATGCACATGTCGAGTAAAAATCCTTGTAAACGTTGGTCTGCAGTCATAACTTCCCAAGGGAATCTTGTTTGGTTATTTTTTTTCTCTCCATTTCTGCAATGAATGCAGTGCCCTCTTTTCAGTTCCTAGTAGTTGTGGGAAGGATAGACTCCAGTTTCTCGTTGGTTGACTCTTACTTTGAGTTTAGAGTCTCCTTGGCTTCTAACTCAAATTGGGACCCCAATGTCTTCCCAAATGAGTACATTCCGGACCTGTGTTCTATATCTCTTGCCCTTACATATCGCCCTAACCCAAATGCAAGTGTTTGCAGTGTCCTTATGTTCAGGATAAAAATGGCTTTAGAGGTCAGACGTTATCTGGTCATAGATTTTTTAAAAAATTGGGCACGATGTTCCCCATTTTCTTTTTGTCCCTTCCCTTCTCTTTCTTTCCACTTTCCCTTCTTTTCTTCTTTCCGTTTATAGCTTTTTTCCCTAACATGTTTCATTATTTCACCAGGATTGTTGATAGGAGGAAACTAGCCCATCATTTCTAGAAACTGGACCCATTTAAAAACATTTTGAATTTAAAGTAGAAGCTCTTCATTATATCATCTAACAGTTTGTAGTTTCAGGTCTTCTAAGTTGATCTTAGAGCTTCTAAGTTGACTTCTGTGTCTTCTAGTCATGCAACCACACTTTTGGTGATGGTATTTTTGGCTCCTGATTTGCATTAGATACTTTCACAACCCACTGCACATGCAACTTACTTCCATCCTCATTGAGTGCTTTGCATATGCTCCTCCAGTACCAGATCAGCTGTTCAGGTTTTATAAAATGGGCCTTTGCAGTGTGAACTGAGCGGCATTGGCCAGGCAGGGGAACCAAGATGATGTCATGGACTCAGATCCTTATGTCCTTGTTGCTCTGGGTCTCAGGTGAGAAATTTAAAAGTGCCTCAGTGCTTTTGGAGTAATATCTTTTTAGAGGTAAAAAATTAATTTTAAGATATACTTAGAAATACTGGCTATTTCCAAAATAGACCCAATTATGTGCTGACGTGTAATACCACGAGAAAGCAGATTTTAAATTATGTTATTTCAATGTGTCTGTGATAAAGTGTGTGTGTATCATCGTTATCCATTTGTGATTGCAGGTGCCTGTGGGGACATCGTGATGACCCAGTCTCCAGACTCCTTGGCAGTGTCTCTAGGACAGAGAGTCGAGATGAAGTGCAAGGCCAGTCAGAGTGTTAGCAACTACTTAGACTGGTACCAGCAAAAACCAGTAAAGGCTCCTAAGCTGCTCATCTATGCAGCATCCAGCAGAGCATCTGGGGTCCCCGACCGATTCAGTGGCAGTGGATCTGGGACAGATTTCACTCTCACCATCAGCAGCCTCCAGGCTGAAGATGTGGCAGTTTACTCCTGTCAGCAGCGTTATAGTTCTCCTCCCACAGTGCTTCAGCTTCGAACAGAAGCCTCCTACTCCTACTGACTGCCATGAGTCAGTGAGTCTTTTCTGCACCAGCTGCTTTGTCCCCACACAGACCTGAACATGTACATTCCTCCATCTACCTGAGAGGTCATATCGCCTGACTTATTCCTTGGATACATTGTAGGGCCCAGGGGAAAATTAAGGGAATTGGCTTTTTTGAATCTCTTTTAGTGGGAGGCAATATAAGAAAAATGCTATAAAGATCTGTTAAAGGTCAGGGGTTTTTGTGTCACAGGAACTTGCATGTTTTCCATGGACTGATCCCATGATTAATCAATAAGGTTTCTCTCTATCCTCTGCAGAAGGATCCATTGAATTTTACATCCTGATGGATTCATTCTCTCTTCCCTGTGCCTCCTTGATCTTGGAACATTTCTATTTTAATTTCTGATTCTCTTGGTCTCCTTTCTTTATCTGCAATCACCCTTCTAACTCTGGACTATCACAATATTAAACCCTTGATGTGTCCTATTCAAAACCTTCCTCAAAGAAGGTAGTATCCTTCTCTTGCTTTTTCCTTACCTGGACCTATTTTCCAGCCAAACTTTTCTGCTCAATGTCATTGAAGTTGCTTTCCTACTCTATCTCCTTTTGTAACACCCTTTTATCATCTCTCCATTTCCTCCACTGTACTCATTCTTAGAAAGACAATTCTCTAATTCTTTAATCCTGTCACTCTAGAAATATATGATAGTGTTCTCTATTACCTTTTCTCATCAATTGTCAACTTTCTCTTTAAACCCATCCCTTGGGCACCCGAGTCTAATTTTGTGACTGAGGGATATCATGGCTTTAAGTGTGCTACAACTTGAATCCCTTGGATAGCATTTAAATAACATGCCCATTTCAGTGTAAAATTGGAAAAAACTCCAGTCACTTTAGTATTACTTCTAAATTTAGCATCAGGAAAGATCCCAGCAAACTTCATCAGTGTCGTCTGAACACTCTTGCCTGCATAACAGCTCCTCATAATAATTAAAAATATATTTAAAGTATTGCTCTTGAGGCATTCATGGCATTTATTCATTCAAGATATGTTTTTTTGAGTGCTTTCTATGTGTCAGGAGCAAAAATATCTGCTTTCATTCCCGTTGGGGAAACCAGACAATAAACAATTGCATAGGTAAATGTTTACTATAGTTTTCTCAGTGCTGGATGAAAAATAAAGGAAGGATGGTTGTAAAAGATTGCTGGGGCAGGAGTGAGTAGAAATTTAAAACTAAATGAAGTAGTAGTTAGCTATTGTCATGTAATAAACCATCCACAAAGCTCTGTGGTTTAAAATGATAGTATCTTTTTTGTCATTATGTTTATGGATCAGCAGATTAGTTGTGTTCATATGCACCAGGCTTGATTGATCTTGACTGGCTTGCTTGTGCATTTGAAGTCAACTGACAGGTCAACTGTGTGCTTGTTAATATAGAAAAGTTCACATTTCTTTCATCTCTTTCACGTTTCTGTAGTTGGCTGACCATCAGCTGAGGCTGTCTGGGTGATTATGCCTTATGTCTCTCATCAACTGGCAGGCTAATCTCAACTTCCTATGGCAGTTGGCAGGGTCCCAAGAGAGAAAGTAAAACCACAAAAGACATCTTTGAGCCTAGACTCAGTACTGTCTCAATGTCCCATGTGATGCATTCTAATAATCAATGCAATTGATGCTATTGAAGGAGAGAGTAAATAGCTCGTACCTCTTGATAAGAGGAACTACAAAGTGATATTGGAAGAAGCATGGATATAGGGAGGGAATGGGGGATCCCCCTTAAGAGTAGAGGACCTGTTTTTGCAGTGACCCTACCAGAGAATGTCATGGAGAAGGTGAGAATGGGAAGGTGTGACTTAATCAAGGTCTTAATGTAGTGAGAAAATGAGCCATAGAAATATCACCAGGGACTAGAGCTTTAGTTAAAGGAAATTTTAGTTAAAGGAAATTCTGCCTCTGAAATGTGACCAACATATTGGAGAAATAGAAGGAAGCCAACGTTGCTAAAGCGGAGTGTGCAAGGGGAGAGTAGTGGAAATAAGATCAGAGAAATAATGAGGAGACGACATTGTGTAGGACTTTGTAGATTTCTCTATGGATTTAGGTTTTGTTTTGAATGCTGTTTTAAGTCGGATAGTTTTGAATAGAGCAGGGCATGATTTGATATGTAGCTTTACAGGATCTCTCTGTTAGGAGACAATTGCTATCATCCAGGGTAGAGATGATGACCGCTTTGTTCTATGGCAGTAGCAGAGGAAGTGAAAAGTAATGTATTTTGCAGATAGAGATCACAGTATGCTGATGGTTTTGACGAGGAGTGTGAGAGAAAGGGAGGTCTCAAGATGACTGCAAGCTTTTCCTCTGAGTGCCAGAAGGAGAGTTCTCTATTTAGATATGGAAAACTGTGGGGACGGTGGTGGGGAGATCAAGAATTTGGTTTTGGTCATTTTAAGTTTGAACTGTGTATTAGACTCCCATCTGTGGTTGGGAGGTAGTCCATTGGATGCATGAGTCTAGAGTTCAGGGGAGACAATTGGACTGGAGGTTGAAATATTATAACCAATGGAGTAAGTGTAGAATAACATTTCATGAAATATTTTAATCGATTAACATCTTTATTTTATCACTTTCTGGCTGTACAATATTCTATTTTGTTTAGATATCATAGTATAAGTGCATGCTCTTAATCCTGGACATTTAAGCAGTAATATTTTGTTTCTATTATACCATATTGAATTAATAAAATGACATGCTTTTATTTATTCATTTTTCTAAGGTTGATTTCTAGTGCCACAAGGGAAAATAAGAAAAAATCCCTAATTATATGCATAAATTAATTCTGTGTTATAAATTATATTTCCCTGGATGTAAAGTTTTGATATGCCAATTCTCATTCCACATTTGGTAAAAAAGAAATCTAAAACACATAAACTCTAAATCTTATTTGCTTACTCTCACAAAATCCCAAATGTCTTGTGGGGTGCATCCTAGTTTAAATTAGAGCTGGAATACATGGAATCCTGCAGCTAGTGAGCTTAAGATTGGCATTTAACTTGGCTTTAGGAAATTTGAGGCTAAAAGCAACAGAATCAAATATTCCTTTGTGAACCTCCTCTGATAATAAGCAGCACATTTTGATTCTCCCAGTTAAAGACTTCTCCTGATTCATTTTCTGCATTCAATGAATGATCAAGAGAGAGTGGCAAGTTGTTAAATAGAAGTATCAACAGGATGACCCTGGTCTCACAATTATTCTAGCGGATATAGTCACCCATTTGTTGAGATTTCTAACATCTTCGTAATGTGAAAAGAGCCGTTGGGAACTGTTTATGTTTCAATGGAAGGCTGACCCTTAGGAGTTATTGAATGTCCTGAGCTGTCTTCAAAACATGTTACTGTGGGGCAGGGATTGAACATTATCAGTGAAATTTATTGAGAAGGTTTACTATTCAGGTCAATATGTAGTTGATTAGATTAAATGAGGTAACAGTCAGTGAAGAGATTGGAATTTCCTGGTCTTCTGCTTTTTGTTATGATGAAGAAGGTATTTCATATCAATGCTCCTGATTAAAATTACTAGGCAGTGAAGAATTTCCAAGATCTTGGAAAGAAGAAAACTTATAGAGGTGAACCCAGTATTAGAGGCTACTTTTCCACTGGAATATCTGTCAAGTCCAGAAAAAGCAACTGAGAGGCAGAGAAGCTGATCAGAGCTTTTGAGAATGTTGTGAACCTAGATGAATAAAAAATAGGTTGGGGTTTGTCAAGGAAGAGGAGCCTGATAAACAATCCCAAAGGGCTGCATGCAGGGAGTAGGGGTAAATCAGAAACAGATAAGCCCTTGTAGAGACTGAAGGCAATCTTCCAGTTATCTAACTTCCTAAAACTGAATTAAAATAATATTGGACTCCTAGCATTCTGAATTGATTCCAAAATCTGAAATACAGTATCATCACAACCTAAAATTATTTATATAGGTTTTCAAATAAAGTGTCTAGAAATCAATAAAAAATAGCTAAGTGGATGAGGAAACAAGACCATGTGATTGAAAACTAAGAGGAACAACATAATAGAATCATAGCATTCAGATAATGGAGTTAGACATTTGACAATATACTATACTTCAACATTCAAGAGATGAAAGAGAAGACCAATACTTTCATCAGAGAACTGGAAACAATAATGAAGAACAAAAAGGAAACGCCTTCTCTAAAACAATTAGAATAGTATTTATTTAATTTACTGGATGTGAGAATAATAATCATTTGAATTAAAATATATATTATAATTATACTAGTAGGTCTTTAGAAAGATAAGGGCTATGTGGCACACCTTCCATCACATCAGTTTGCTCTCACTTCATGTTTGAAAATCTCTTCAGCACAGGTGTGTAGTAACAAGGTGTCAGCTCACATGTCCTTTCACTTCTATTACCTGTGTTTAGATTTTTCTCTCCCTGCCTAAATTAGGGGCAGAATGTGCCTTTAGAGTCAGGTCTACTTTCACGGTGCACTCAATACCTTTGAAACCATTGCTTTTTGCGTCACTTGACTTTGAGTGGCCTTCCTAAATCTGCAGGATGTAAGTGCTACTGCCTTTCTCAGCCAATTTCCCTGACCCTGCCACCTTATGCAGTCAGTGACAGCTGAAAGGCCATTCCTGTTTATGTGGATTCTCATTCCTCTCTTGTTAGCAAGCTTGGTTCATTTGCTCATCGGTCCTGGATGTGACTGCGGAATATTGTGGATTGATGGTACCATTTCCACAGTTTCTGTTTTTACTAAGGCATTAAAAGAAATAATGAGTTTCCCTGCCCCTGGCATATTACTGATTTTAAGATATATCTTCAGTGTAGAACATTTATATTAAATATATGCAAAATTCTATTTAAAACCTGTACTATTTATTTCTTCATTCTAAAAAAGCCACTTTGCTAGTGCCACAGTCACAGTTTGAGTCTATGCCTTCTTTCACAATCCATCCGAAATTCATTACTTCAGAAGATTAATAAATGATTTAGAAGGTTATTAAAGTGTACTCAGCTTCATATATGAATTACTGATTGTTGACAGATTAATATGTTGAGACATCATATCGTATGTAAGCTTCTTCTGCAGCCACACCTCCCATAATTCATAATGGAAACATGATGTCTCCACTGGTGGGAGAGTTGTCTGGGACCCAAATCTGCCAGATTACTGACTTCAGAGTTTAAAAGCCTAGGATATGGGTCATATGTGGAAAATATTCAAGTAATATTATAGCAATACAATTTGACAGATTGGCCTGTATCCCTGTCTAGTTTGATCAATCTTTCCGGTTATACTAGGAGTCATAATTTCTCAGGACCTGAGGTTCCAGCGCTAAAATCAGGAAAGTCCTGGGATAGCTTGTCACCCCATCCTTACTACTCCTTACTACTCTGCCTTTTTGAGGAGGTTGAGGATTCAGGGAAGGGAGAAGAATTGAGGTGGAGACAATCAGTGTTTCCTTTACCCACAATAATTCAGGAACAGAGAACAGGTAGAAATGAAATTGGATTTTCCTTAAATTGTATTTTGGGGGGGGCGGGGGGAAATGGAGAGTATGTACGTGTACCACACCCTATCCTGCCTAGATTTCCAATATATGCAGCCCAGTAGTTGAGTCCCACCCCATGAAGCTTGGAGAAAGTAAGAGAACCAATGAGTCCCCCAGTGAGAGGGCAGAGTGAGAGAAAGAAAGCAGTTTCTATGTCTGGCATGACAGTCAGAAATGTCTCATTCCTGTGGGCTTAAGTGGTGGAACATAAAGTTTGCAGAGTGTTTTTTGTTAGGATGCTACAGAGAAAAATTACCAGTAGAATGTATACACAGAGAGATTTAAGAAATTGCAAGCGTGGGGGCTGGTAAATCCACAATCTGTAGAGCAGGCTGGCAGGTTGGAAACTCAGGTCAGTGCTGATGTTTCAGTCTTGAGTTTGAAATCTGCAGGCTGGGAACTTGGTCAGGGCTTCTATGTTGCAATCTTGAGGAAGAATTTCTTTTTCGTTGGGAAATCTCAGTCTTTGTTGTCAAAGGTCTCAACTGAGAGAATGAGGCCCACCC